GTTTTTCCATGTTAACATGTGGTCTTTCACCTAATTTTGGTGAAAAATTGTTGTTTTGTAACATTTATAATTTTTTTAGTTAACCCTTTCCCCCATGAGCATATTGTGGAAAATGGCCGTTTTCACTGAAAAGCCTCCTGTTACAAGTTCAAACTGCTATGAAACTATGAAAAATGCTTCAATACTAATCAAACTTGGCACAAATGTTGACTGGACCATTGCCTTTGTAACGACATGCTCAGTCTTAAATTTTCTGTTACCATGGCAACGAGGGGGCATCTCAAAATTGCCCAAAATCACTATTTTGCCTCGATTTTTTCCATCAAAATTTATTTCAAAGTGCTGCAACTTCTCAAGGGATTGAGATAGAGTCAAAGGCTTTTCAGCGTTGGTTACACGTTACATTATGATCGACCTGGGGTCATTTTTAGCCTCTCACAAGTCCAAAATTTTCTTGGCGATGAGGGGGACTCCGCCCCCCCTTCAAACCCCCCTAACAGAAGGGGGCACATCCCCCTTCTGGCAACCCCCTGATGTATCTTTTGGATGGGGGGCGGCGCCGAAAAAGTGCTCAATTTTTTTAGCAACATTTCTCAAACGAAAACATGTGTTTGGGGCCCAAATAGGACATTTTTTCACTCTTTGAGGCCTAAAAAAGGGGGGGGGGTCGAAAGTGCGTTGTTTCGCGTATATATGGGGTAAAGGGTTAACAAAAAATAATGAAAAACTTTGAAATCACCTAAAAACTAGTTTTTCCATGTTAACATGTGGTCTTTCACCTAATTTTGGTGAAAAATTGTTGTTTTGTAACATTTATAATTTTTTTAGTTAACCCTTTCCCCCATGAGCATATTGTGGAAAATGGCCGTTTTCACTGAAAAGCCTCCTGTTACAAGTTCAAACTGCTATGAAACTATGAAAAATGCTTCAATACTAATCAAACTTGGCACAAATGTTGACTGGACCATTGCCTTTGTAACGACATGCTCAGTCTTAAATTTCCTGTTACCTGGCAACGAGGGGGCATCTCAAAATTGCCCAAAATCACTATTTTGCCTCGATTTTTTCCATCAAAATTTATTTCAAAGTGCTGCAACTTCTCAAGGGATTGAGATAGAGTCAAAGGCTTTTCAGCGTTGGTTACACGTTACATTATGATCGACCTGGGGTCATTTTTAGCCTCTCACAAGTCCAAAATTTTCTTGGCGATGAGGGGGACTCCGCCCCCCTTCAAACCCCCCTAACAGAAGGGGGCACATCCCCCTTCTGGCAACCCCCTGATGTATCTTTTGGATGGGGGGCGGCGCCGAAAAAGTGCTCAATTTTTTTAGCAACATTTCTCAAACGAAAACATGTGTTTGGGGCCCAAATAGGACATTTTTTCACTCTTTGAGGCCTAAAAAAAGGGGGGGGGGGTCGAAAGTGCGTTGTTTCGCGTATATATGGGGTAAAGGGTTAACAAAAAATAATGAAAAACTTTGAAATCACCTAAAAACTAGTTTTTCCATGTTAACATGTGGTCTTTCACATAATTTTGGTGAAAAATTGTTGTTTTGTAACATTTATATTTTTTTTTAGTTAACCCTTTCCCCATGAGCATATTGTGAAAAATGGCCGTTTTCACTGAAAAGCCTCCTGTTACAAGTTCAAACTGCTATGAAACTATGAAAAATGCTTCAATACTAATCAAACTTGGCACAAATGTTGACTGGACCATTGCCTTTGTAACGACATGCTCAGTCTTAAATTTCCTGTTACCATGGCAACGAGGGGGCATCTCAAAATTGCCCAAAATCACTATTTTGCCTCGATTTTTTCCATCAAAATTTATTTCAAAGTGCTGCAACTTCTCAAGGGATTGAGATAGAGTCAAAGGCTTTTCAGCGTTGGTTACACGTTACATTATGATCGACCTGGGGTCATTTTTAGCCTCTCACAAGTCCAAAATTTTCTTGGCGATGAGGGGGACTCCGCCCCCCTTCAAACCCCCCTAACAGAAGGGGGCACATCCCCCTTCTGGCAACCCCCTGATGTATCTTTTGGATGGGGGGCGGCGCCGAAAAAGTGCTCAATTTTTTAAGCAACATTTCTCAAACGAAAACATGTGTTTGGGGCCCAAATAGGACATTTTTTCACTCTTTGAGGCCTAAAAAAGGGGGGGGGGTCGAAAGTGCGTTGTTTCGCGTATATATGGGGTAAAGGGTTAACAAAAAATAATGAAAAACTTTGAAATCACCTAAAAACTAGTTTTTCCATGTTAACATGTGGTCTTTCACCTAATTTTGGTGAAAAATTGTTGTTTTGTAACATTTATAATTTTTTTAGTTAACCCTTTCCCCCATGAGCATATTGTGGAAAATGGCCGTTTTCACTGAAAAGCCTCCTGTTACAAGTTCAAACTGCTATGAAACTATGAAAAATGCTTCAATACTAATCAAACTTTGCACAAATGTTGACTGGACCATTGCCTTTGTAACGACATGCTCAGTCTTAAATTTCCTGTTACCATGGCAACGAGGGGGCATCTCAAAATTGTCCAAAATCACTATTTTGCCTCGATTTTTCCATCAAAATTTATTTCAAAGTGCTGCAACTTCTCAAGGGATTGAGATAGAGTCAAAGGCTTTTCAGCGTTGGTTACACGTTACATTATGATCGACCTGGGGTCATTTTTAGCCTCTCACAAGTCCAAAATTTTCTTGGCGATGAGGGGGACTCCGCCCCCCTTCAAACCCCCCTAACAGAAGGGGGCACATCCCCCTTCTGGCAACCCCCTGATGTATCTTTTGGATGGGGGGCGGCGCCGAAAAAGTGCTCAATTTTTTAAGCAACATTTCTCAAACGAAAACATGTGTTTGGGGCCCAAATAGGACATTTTTTCACTCTTTGAGGCCTAAAAAAAGGGGGGGGGGGTCGAAAGTGCGTTGTTTCGCGTATATATGGGGTAAAGGGTTAACAAAAAATAATGAAAAACTTTGAAATCACCTAAAAACTAGTTTTTCCATGTTAACATGTGGTCTTTCACCTAATTTTGGTGAAAAATTGTTGTTTTGTAACATTTATAATTTTTTTAGTTAACCCTTTCCCCCATGAGCATATTGTGGAAAATGGCCGTTTTCACTGAAAAGCCTCCTGTTACAAGTTCAAACTGCTATGAAACTATGAAAAATGCTTCAATACTAATCAAACTTGGCACAAATGTTGACTGGACCATTGCCTTTGTAACGACATGCTCAGTCTTAAATTTCCTGTTACCATGGCAACGAGGGGGCATCTCAAAATTGCCAAAAATCACTATTTTGCCTCGATTTTTCCATCAAAATTTATTTCAAAGTGCTGCAACTTCTCAAGGGATTGAGATAGAGTCAAAGGCTTTTCAGCGTTGGTTACACGTTACATTATGATCGACCTGGGGTCATTTTTAGCCTCTCACAAGTCCAAAATTTTCTTGGCGATGAGGGGGACTCCGCCCCCCTTCAAACCCCCCTAACAGAAGGGGGCACATCCCCCTTCTGGCAACCCCCTGATGTATCTTTTGGATGGGGGCGGCGCCGAAAAAGTGCTCAATTTTTTAAGCCACATTTCTCAAACGAAAACATGTGTTTGGGGCCCAAATAGGACATTTTTTCACTCTTTGAGGCCTAAAAAAGGGGGGGTCGAAAGTGCGTTGTTTCGCGTATATATGGGGTAAAGGGTTAAGGGCAACAACTACATAAACCAATTTTAACAAAGTTAATAAGGGGCATAACTCCAAAAATATAGATTTCAGAATTATGCCCCTTGTCTAACAACTGCACCTTATCATGATAAACAAGTATTCCAAGTTTCATTTTGATAACTTTCAAAATTTTTGAATGAAGGGCTACATTAAAGTTTTTGAATGACGACAACACAGAATCATAATACAGTTAAACTTCGTTCGCTCGAACTCGGATCGCTCGAATACCTCCCTTCGCTCGAACTCATCGCTCAGTCCCGGCAAAATTCCTATATAATATATATTGTTCTACCTCGGATCGCTCGAACACCCATCGCTCGAACTCTCGAACCTGATCTCTGGTCCCTTCGGCAGAAATATAGTGTAAATCACACCTTTTCGGTCGAACACAGACAGCAAAAATTGCGGATCGACATGTTCTAAATAATTGACCATCGGCGACACATGTTTTTAACACCTCGTGATCGAGACAAAGGCGCTTAAGGTTAAATGATAAAAGGTGTTGTAACCGATTTGTTTGTTCTGATAAAATTGTATATTTGCTGTCTTTAGTAACGATAAAAAGAAAATAACAGCTGAAATGCGCAAAAGTCAATAATTTAATAAATGACGTTTAACCGGATGGCTTTAATTACAACCGTTGTTCATGTAAGGTGAATTGTATCAGTCTAATCTTTTTATAGAATGATACTTGTACGTGTGTTTATTTTAGTAAATGACTACAAATAGATGCTACTGTAAAATGTTGTTTTTTAACATTTTATCAATTCATTGTTTAAAATAAAATTCATCCCATGATAAACAAATAAATATATTTTGAACACTGTTCACAGTTTGGATAATGATAGTCCAATCGAACTCAACCAATTAAAATATGCATGAATATAGATTCACACACAAACTCCTCGCAGCGGTTACTTCCCCTGATCTGTACAGTAACAAAGTTAAAGTAGCAAAGCGTGACGTAACCGCTGTGAGGAGTTTGATTCACACAGTGTACCGTTAATACTGTTTTATTAGGTTATTTCGATAGGATAATAATTCTTAATATGACGTATTCGACAAAGAGATGTACCAACAAACAATTATGTTGACGTATTTATCATTTGACCGATGAAAGCTTGAAAACCGTGAGAAAGGTCTCTGTTATATGCAATAATAGTTCAACCTCGGTTGGCTCGAACTACCGATCTCTCGAACAAATTTGCACAGACCCTCCGAGTTCGAGCGAACGAAGTTCGACTGTAACTAAAACATGTAAAAGAAAGACATATATCTTAGCATTTCAAAACACACAGAACAAGTAGATTTTATGTGTATTACAATTTGTTACATTACAAGACAGAAAATGTATTAAATACAGCAAGTTTATTGACTGAATATTCAAACTTTAACCTTAACAACGGATCCTGAATCCTGTATTTGTAAAAGATAACCAAAAACCAAATCAGTAACAACATATGTTATATTATTTATATATTAACATTAGTTAAATGAAATATATTCCAACATACGTAGAAATACGGGCAAGATCAAAACAAATTAAAATTAGAAGGGACAACATTAATACATGTATGAGTTTATATAAGTGCTCATTTAAATCTTAAACAAAATCCTAAAAAAATAATAAGAAAGAATGTAAAAAAGTGAAGATAAAACAACACAATAAAAATTAAAGCCAAAAAATGATGACTAAATTTTAGAACACGTCAACCTTAAGACAAAGGGAAGACAGTATGTGTACTAGAGTAATTTATTTCACACCTTACAAAATATAACCAATGCACTTTCAGCATTTGCACCATGTGATGTTTCAAAAGAAACTTTTATTAGATACAATCTTTTCAATTTAGCCTCAGTTTCGTTCCCAGAGTCCAAACAGTTCTTATCATAATCCTACACCCCTTTTGGCCTCTTTTTCATTTTAAGACTCCATAGAATCTTTATCAAATGCACATCATACACTTGCTTCCATTCAAATTCTTATTTTAATTAAAGTCACAAAGCTCTGTCAAAAAGTCAAGAAATGGTGGTGTGAAATAAAAAGGTTATTATACATAGTTGACAACAACACTGATCCTGTTACACTCATACACTGCTGCAAAACCTATATCAGACTTGGCTAGTGCCTCGTCCAATATAGTTTTGACAGCTGTGTACTCATCTAGGAGAATTCAGTATTCTACTCAACAATATATAATAACCTCATAACATCAAATCAACGTAAGCCTACTTTAAGAGCATTTGGTGGGTACTAGAGTAATAAATTGCCTAAACACAAGCCCATCTTAAATGCATATAAGTAATTAAACTAGATAAAAAGTCCCACAGATGTGACTGTACCTCCAGATAAAAAGATAACAATATGGGCCTCAAACTAAGCTAGCATGCCTATATCAAGCACAAGTTTAATAACTTATAATGCACACATACCATTTCCATGGCCTCCTCAAAACTTTGACGTCTCTCGGCAGAAGGGAGATAATTATTGCGATCTCTTTGTCTTTGATTGTACATGTCCTGCTGATCCGGAGACAAATCATCTTCTGAAAAATTACATGTAGTGAAAAGTACATTTTAACACTGATGTAATAAGCTCCTAAAGGTTTAAGAAGTTTTTATGTGAAAACTTGAAATTTGTCAGCGAGAATCTGTTATATGTCAGCTAAAATTTGATATATGTTATTGAAATTTTGATGTACATGTATGTCATCGAAAATTTGATATATGTACCAGTGAATCTGTGAAAAAAATGAAATTTGTAAAAAAGAATTTGATATTTGTTTGTTAAAATATCAAATTTATCAGTTGAAACATTGAAATTAATCAGTAAAATATTGTATTCTTAACTGTGAAATATTGAAGTTGTCAGTGAAATATAAAATTATACATGCATCTGTATAAAACCAGCAATATCATGAATGTGTGTTTTTTGCAAGAGAATAAAAAGCAAATTTTAAAGGTGGTTTAGAAAATATTGTTAATCTACTTGCACTTGTTTTCCTTGCTATCAAAAGTCTTATATTAGTACAAAAATCTTAACCACTAAATAAATCTTAACCACTTAACTAAATATTTAATTTTAACCACTAATCACTAACTATCGTTGGATGCCTTAAAATCATCCAAAAAAAAAATATCAAAAAAAATCATATTTCTAGAAAATAAATGAATATGCTTCTTTCTAAAAAAAAAAAAAAAAAAAAAAAATCATCCCTGTCCTAGAGTCAACACCCTTACTGTGTATGTCAGAAAATCTCAACAAACATTTGTAAACATCAAAGTAAATCTAATGTATCTGCCAATGCTTGGATTATTAGAAAATATAGTGTATCAAACTAGCACTGTAAAATGCTTAGGGATAAATCTTAACCATAAATTCCTAATACTGAACCGCTGAAGTACTAACTAATTAAACGCTAACTAAAACTTTACCATTAACCAATAACTAAATACTACCACTTATCACATCTTAACTATGAAGTGCTCACTAAATCTAAACTGCTAACCGCTAACTTTATCTTCATCACTAACTTAATCTTAATTATTAATAATATTTCAACCACTAACTATTACACAATCTAGAAAAAGCAGAGAGCATGCAAGTCTCATTTATGAAGAAAAGTAATAAGTTTTTTAATTCATCATACCAGCATTGGCAGCTGAAGTGTCATGAACACCAGCTGTATTGACATCTTCTCGTGACCTCATTATCACGGCTATTTCATCAGGGGTCAATGAATCCTCCTCACCTATAAGACAAAATAACATTAACTTTAGTTAATACATTAATTAATTACAGATATGCACAAAGTGTGTGTTTTTTCCTATGAAAAATCTTTCAATTTCATAACAAGCAAAACTATAGAGAAAATAGCTAAAAAATAAACAAGTAATTTTCAAATTAATTTTATGGAAATTCATTATATGCTAAAATTCTACATTGCATCTACTTAAGGATAATTACATAAAGTTTATAGCTGTAAGTGGAATATATAAATCTGGAACACTTTGAGTAATCTTTTTTCTTTGAAAGGTGGTGCTAAAATCATATTATTTGTATGTAGATAAAAAACTACAGTGCACTCCGAATATAACGAGATCGTCGGGACTTCGGATGATTCCTCGTTATAACCAGGACAGAACAAATTGAGAAATCCGACATCGTCGAGCATCATTTATTTACTTTCCCTTTCGCGTGCATCCTTTTTGAAGAGTATATAATGGGAGGTAACTCTTTGCAATCAGAAGTTTTTGTTTTATTTAAATATACATGTATATAAATATATCTAGCTATCATAGAATTTAAAGAAAACATGTAAACACAACCTAAGTCTAACCGCGTGTGTTTTCTCATTAATATGTACATTTTAAAATTCGTTTTCAAAAGTCACACAGTGCATTTCTCACGAACACCGAATAGCACCGCAAGAAATTAGCCGCTTCCTTTGTGCTAAGCACTCAATGAAATTGATTTGTTATGACATTTCGTCACCTTAAGGACAATTTAGCCCGGAGCGCTGACAAAACAAGGCTGACACATTTGATCGCTAATTGCTAGATCCATTATCTCGCCCCGTTTCAATAATTTCTTCCTTAATTGACCTTTATTATTGGTCATCATTGTTTTTCTCAAGGTGAGAAACTGATGCAGACGAAGTGCAAATGAAGTGACCTCGTTAAAATTCTGAAAAATACGCATGGGACGGCGAAATAATGTACGTTGTAACCGATATCTCGCTAAAACCGATCTCGTTATAAACGTTAAAAAACAAAAGGAAAATAGAAGGAAAAAGGCCGGGACACAGTAGAATGTACGTTGTAAGCGGTACCTCGTTAAAACCGATCTCGTTATAAGTGGAGTAGACTGTATTAGGTTTATTTTTTCAATCTCTTATTTCACTATCCTGACCCTGTGCTAAAAATTATGTTTTTACATTACTCTAACCCTATGCTAAAAATAACACTTTTTAATGTTACTTAACCCTGTGCCTGGCCTCGGTGATAAAAATAACACATTTCATGTTATTCTAACCCTGTGCTAGGTCTCTGTGATATAAATATGCATTTTAACATTATACAAACCCTGTGCCAGGCCTCTGTGATATAATTTAAAATTTTAACATTACACAACCCTGTGCCACACCTCTATGATATAAATTGATATTTTGACATTATACAAACCCTGTGCCAGGCCTCTGTGATATAAATAAACATTTTAACATTAAACAACCCTGTATCAGGGTATCTAATCTGTGATTAGAATCAGACATATTTTACCTTCTGCTTGTCTTGCTGTTGCTGTAGGAGGAGCTATGGCTTCATCATAAGATGGTGGGGGTGCTTCAATGTCTGTAGGTGGCCGCTTCTGAAGATGTTCCGGTACAGGCATAGATCGACTGGACCGGACTGGTTCCTCATCTTCCCTATAGTCGTGCATCAAACTACGATCGCTAGGATCACTTCCTGCCCCTTCCGATGCTATAGAGAATGATAAAATATATTGTATGTATTGTATTCTAACACACTTCACATAATTCCCCTATTAAACATTGTGCATTATAACACAATACATGCACAGCATAAAAATGAATGCTTACACGTCATATACAATGTCAATAAACCAAATGACATCAGGATTAATAATAACCTCGATAATCAACGTAGGTCCACATATTTTATCAATTCTCTCTTTTATTTGCATGTTAGTATGGTAATAGATATCAATCTTACTTACATTATAGTATTATAATTAATGGTTTATCATTCAAATGCATTGAAATTAATTACTCAGGCCTTCCTGATTATATTTATGTGCATTTGAACTTAAACTGTGCATTATTCAACAACAATGCACTCAAAATCTGCATCTACTTCACAAATGAAATATAAAATGCTAGTTACCAGAGAACCAGACTGGCCTGTGATTTGATGTGATTGTCATAAATTATTTTTGAGAGCAATGTGTAATTTAAAATAACATAGATATGCAACAACTAATACCATTTATATAAATTAATGAAAAACAAAGTCTTTCTCTTATCAAAATTTGCTGTACTCTGGGGAAAATGTTACCTTTATATATATCAATTAATTATTTTATAAACTAAATTTTTTTGTCCAAAGAAACTTCTCTTTCCTTCAACCCGCTGGAACCAAATTTTATTAACCTTTGCCACCAGTATAGAGCCAGGTCAGCACACACTGCTGTGAAGTCTAACCAGCCTCTATACTGTGGACTGACAAGCATCAACTTGTTTTTATCTTGACATCTCAAAAAGTTGATATTCTAAAAAGTCAAGAAAATTTTCAACTATATTGCTTTACTTTACATGAATTCATTTTAGTTTGATTGTGTCGAAAGCTTTAAGCTTAATGAAACACTGTTGTATCAGTTCCTGGAACCAATCAATACTAAGCAATGACTTGCCCCTAACAGGACGTGACCAGCAATCCTTAGATTTTTAGATTGACATAATAACAATGCGGCCATGCATCACCGCCATATATATATAGTTAATAATAAAATTTCCTGTATGATAATAAAGGTTTTACCTGTGTTGAAGCTAGTTTCATGAACTCCATCACTGCCAGAAAGACTTCCTGTACATAAAAAACGGGGAGCTTAAGAAAAATGAAATTCAAAATCATGCAAAAAAGATACATGTATATTATTCATAAAAACATAGGTCTGACAAACTCTCTTTTATTTGGGCTTAAATATTAAATGAAAATACCTAATTGTGTGCATAAATGTTGTGTCTAAAATATAAGACAATCTGCTTACAGTGAATTTATGTGCTGTCAGGAAAGTGTTACACCTTGTTAGTTATGTTAAAATCAATTAAATGTTAATGACCAATTTCGCTATTGAAAAAATCTCTAGATTATACTTACACATTAATTAAAAAAAATTTCTTTGTCTGGTTTTTAAACCGATTATAACAAATTCTAAGTCATATTTCTGCCAAGGATTCAACAAGCAACCCTTGAATTACACATCTGATGCTCTATTGAGCTAAGCTTGCAGACGCCAAATTGAAGACTAACATTAAACAGTCAAAACAAGAGTTCATAAAACATCTGTATTTACCTGCATACTTCTTTTCATCACAATCCATAACTTTGTGCTGATACTAAACTCTGTTCAACCTTAAAATATAAATACAATGAAAACTATTTAATTGCATGACTCTTTATTATATAAGGAGTACATATTGAACTTTAATTCTTTATTTATTGACAGGATATAAAGCTCCTGTGATTCAGGGCAAACACCTACATTTTTTTTTTCACGTTGATCATTGTGAAATGTTCAGCATCTTTTATTTTTGTAATAAATGGTTAAAAAAAATAGAAATATAAGCCAATTGGTGTAAGATTTTAAAAATTGTTTTTATCTGAAATTATTGACTTAAACACGCTTTACATTTACATTTCACATTTACATCTTGTATGGGAGTTTAATAGTAGGCGATTCCTCTTGGGTTCCATATCTGTTCATAACATTCCAAGGTGGTCTAGTCTGGTTTTGAAGATATTAACTGTTTGTGCCTGGAAGTTCATTCCATGAGTTAACAATTCTAATGGAGAAAAAGTTTTTACGCAGTGAAAGTCCCTTGTTTAGTGTTGGTTTGTAAACTTTAAGATGATGTCCTCTAGTGGCTGATATGTTAGAAATATTTTTCATTTTATATCTTACGGGTTTCTATTAAATCACCTCTTAGTCGTCTTTCTTTCAAGCTATACTTTTTTAAGACAATACATATTTAACTTTTTTAAGGCTATACATATTTAACTTTTTAAAAGGTTTTCGTAATTCAAGATTGATAATTCAGGAACTAAACTTGCAGAATTTTCTGAACTCTAACTAAAAATTCAATATTTTTGACTTAATAAGGGTTCAACGACTATACAGCATATTCCATTTAAGGTCTAACATATGTTGGATATATGACTTTAAAGCTATTAATATCAATAACATTAACAAGAGGGCCATGATGGCCCTGAAATCGCTCACCTGTATATAGGCCCCCCGAGGAGGGACAATTTTAAACCAAGGGCTTTTATTTGAACAAACTTGGTAGACACCCATTATTAGATGTTTCCTGATATATATCTAAGCTTTATCTCTTTGGGGTTTTTATAAGAAATTTTTTAAAGTTTTTACTATACACATATAAAGAAAAACAATGACCCCGCTGGGCGGCACCAATTTTGACCCCAGGCCGGGGTTTTTATTTGTTCAAACTTGGTAGACTCTCACTAGAAGATATTTCATGCTTAGTATCTAAACTCTAGCTCTTTGGATTTTTTAAAAGAAGATTTTTATGTTCTAAATATACACATATAAGGAAAATAAATGAACCCCGGGGCGGGACCAATTTTAACCCAAGGGCCCTTATTTGAACAAACTTGGTAGACACCCATTAGAAGAGGCTTCATTCTATATATCTTTGCTCTAGCTATTTGGTTTTTTGCAAAGGTAATTTTTTTAAGTTTTATACTATAATATATACATAAAGGGAAAAACAATGACCCCTTGGGCGAGGCCAATTTTTACCCCAGGGCTTTTATTTGAACAAACTTGGTAGACACACACTAGAAGACCTTTCATGCTTAATATCTCAGCTCTAGCTTTTAGGGGTTTTAAAAGAAGATTTTTTAAGTTTTTACTTTATACAAATAAGGAAAATCAATGACCCCCAGGGCATTTATTTTAACAAACTTGGTAGACACTGACTAAACAATGTTTCATGCCAAATATTTAAGCTCTAGCTCTTTCAGTGTTAATTTATGAAAAATGGTAACTTGAATGTTTGAAAAATAATTGAAGAAATTAACTTGAGTCATATACCATCATTTTGCTAATATTGGAAAGAAACATTAATAATAAATTGACATTAAAAATATATCAACTAGTGTTAAATTTGATCGAAAGAGCTGTCAGCAAGAGCCCTGTTGAAGACAGCATCTATGATGTATAGACATATACTAGGTAGAAGAGACACAGAAGAAGAGGCGTAAATTGGTGGTTGTATGTATGTTGTGACGGACATCGGCAGTTCTAATAATAACAAGTAGAACTTATTGACAGAAAATTATGCATGTGTTTGCTTGTTTATTTTTATTTAATAATTGATAGTTTTTAAATAAAAATAAAGGATATTCATTGTTAAACTTTTGTTGTTAGTTATATAGTTAGATATACAAATGTATTTTGTTCATTTTTATTTGCTTTCTTGATATGTGTTAGCAAAATAATTTTTTTTTAAATTGGGCCGGGTTGATCAGAAATAAAATTGGCTTGGGGCCGGATTGACCAATTTGGGGCACAGGCGGCAGTATCAGTGTTTGGACACCCCACCCCTATCTGCCCCTGGACCCCTACTACAACCCTGAAAAAAAATAATTCAGCACTCTAAGGCTTACTATATTAAGGTACCAAACTCAAAACCACCGATGAAATTATATAAAAAAAAATTTTTCCACTATCAAAATTATAGTTATAGAAAGGTGAAAAGCCTACTATAAGTTCATTTGCCAAACAATGTGGAACACGGGAAATCGTCGTTTCGGCGACTGAAGCACATTCCGAATGCATTTTGCTGCATCATTCATTTACATCAATAAAAAGAACTTGAATTCCACAGCTTACTTAATTCAAGTCTAACGAATATCAATATTATATCGATTTTTTCTATTTCACGGTAATTTTTTACTTGTCGTTGCCATTTTGGATTCTGATACCTACATGTGTTATACAAGATCTGATTGGACGTCCAATTTGGCTCGTCCAATCAGATCGCGTATTTCAACCCAGGTAACAGACTGCAAAATGGCTACGACAATTCAAAAAATACCGTGAAACAGAAAAAATCGGAATGATAGTGATATTCGTTGGACTTGAATTAGATAAGCTGTGGAATTCTAGTTCTTTTTATTGATGTTAATGAATGATGCAGCGAAATCCCGCGGGAATGCGCCTCAGTCGCCGAAACGACGATTTCCCGTGTTCCACATTGTTTGGCAAATAAACATATAGTAGGCTTTTCACCTTTCTATAACTATAATTTTGATAGTGGAAAATTATTTTTTTTATATAATTTCATCGGTGATTTTGTATTTGGTACCTTATAGTAAGCCTTAGAGTGTTGAATTATTTTTTTCAGGGTTGTAGTAGGGGTCCAGGGGCAGATAGGGGTGGGGTGTCCAAACACTGATACTGCCGCCTGTGATTTGGGGCCGGGTCCAGTTGACTTGTTCCCAGTAATAATATAGTCCAAGTTGGACTCCAACTAATTGTACTGCGCGACGAGATATTGTGCTATTTTCGTGTCTGGGCAATACATGTTTCTCGCCTCTAAAAGCGAGATTCTGACCTAGTACGAAAAATCTTAGAATCAAGGCTCAAGCTTTGGCACGTCAATATATTTTGACTAGTAAATATTGACACAGTGTGGCACAGAATTTTGCATCCAAAAAATTTTTGATATGTGCAAATGACTAAGTCTGTAAACTATATTACCTGAAAGAAAAGTATTCTTTCCTGACGTATACAGTCAGTCGACAAGTCTATGTGATGAAAAACATTGCAAATAATGATATTTTGAAATAATTTATGCAGTCACTGGGGACAGGAAGTAAACAAATTGGCCTGTTTGATTGATATTTCCAATAACAAAAATGTATTTAATTTATACCGAAAAGACGTCTTTGTCGCGGAATGATACTATTAATCGATTAGAAAAAAGTTTGTTATATGTATATTCCTTTAGTATGAGGCCATTCGCATTTGGCCATTGACATCAGAAATCAGTTTTGAAAGCACTGAATTCTACAGGCATGACTTGGGGAAGGATAATATCAGCATTTCTTTGATTGTTTTTCACGGCCTTCATTTTAAGAGATCATAGTCCAATATTGATACCATGACAAATCCTTGTTGTTGTACAGTATTGTATAATACAGGATTAAAGGTTGCGTACTCTTCAAGTAGAGTTTGGCGATCTATAATAACTTCATAAAGTCATTATACATATAAACATTAATGTAAATACACAAAAAGCTTTGGCCAACAGTTAAAACAGCATTATCGAGGACCCTCACCTAAAGAGAGATACATTACCTTTTATACAAATTATTATCTCTCAAAGTCTATTTTGAAGGAACTTTAATATATAATCCTACAACATTTGATTCCTAGCTTGTATCACATAGTATTGCCATGTAGTACTTACGTATTAAGCATAAAGTTTAAGGATTACTCAGCCGACTGATCATAATTAAATAATTAAGGACCCTACTATAAATCTTGTTACTATGATATTATGATATGATACTCGGACTTTTTTTGTAAAAATCAATGCTAAAAGCGACATTGCATTTGGAGTGAATAAAGCTAATTAATGCATATCTCGGCTGCCTGCAGTTAACAAAAATGTCTTTGATCTTTGAAACCAAATCATTAAAAAAAGTTTGTAACAAAGATATATTTTGGTTTGTTTCCTTTGGAGCGAAAAGTGCATGCACGAAATCGTTACCAAACTGTTGATCAATTTAATCATTTACACTTTAACTCAATTACTTAATTTTAAAGTGTATAACGCTATATATATGCTGCAAAATAGTGTTTGAATTTTAAAAAATAATAATACCTTAATTGCTTGTATGAAATGAAATATGTGAGTAAATTGCCTTAAAAGCAAATGGCGCATCATCATCATCTTCAGTAATCGCCTCACTCTTCATAGAGCATAATCGCGATGAAACTAAAACTATGTACATGCGCAGCAATTGGTTTCCTCTTTACAGTTAAAAATTGTCATCTTTTTAAAAACTGGTAAAAACTGGCAATGTGTCTAGTTGGTGGTTGTGTGTTTCATCAGCGCCGACTTGAACCCCTCCAAGGTTGGTTTCTCAACAACTTGAATGGGTAGGCGATTCCAGAGGATGCTGGTGGCCGGAAAGAAGCTGTTCTGGTACACATATTTCTTGCAAGTGAGCTGGCTGAGTTGTTGTGGGTTGCCTCTTGATGTTCTTGCATTACGTAGCGGGGGATCTGGTGTGAAATCTACAAAGTCATGCTTGATTTTGTAGAGCATGGTGACTCTTGCCATGTCCCGTCTCTTCTGTAGAGTGGTCCAGTGTAGTGAGTTTACCATCTCTGTGACACTGCTCTGGCGTGAGTAGTCGTTCTTGACAAACCGTGCTGCTCTTCTTTGTACCATCTCTAGTTGGTTGATGTGGCTGTCAGCAGCAGGTGACCATACAGAGGAGGCATACTCAACGCTTGGCCGTACGTAGGTGTTGTAGGCTTTGGCTTTGGCATCTGGTGGGCTTGACCGGATGTTTCGGCGCAGGAAAGCTAGGGTTGAGTTGGCTTTTTTCGTTATGTTGTCGATGTGGCATTTCCAAGATAGGTCTGGTGTGATGGTAACTCCAAGATACTTGGCCTGGTTGGTTACGTTGAGGGTTGTCTGGTGTATATGGGAAGATAATGGGGTTCCTCTTGGTGGTAATTCGGATGACCTCACATTTGGCAGCATTGAACTCCATTTGCCATTCCTTCTCCCAGACTTGGAGACTGTCAAGGTCGTCTTGTAGGGCACGGGCATCATCCTGCATAATCATTTATCGTCATATCGAGGAGATAGTCATCAGCAAACATGCAAGTCCTCGACTCTACCCAAGACGGTAGGTCGTTGATGAAAGCGAGGAAGAGCAGAGGACCTAAGACGCTGCCCTGGGGCACTCCGGAGGTGACAGAGGATGTGTGTGAGTGTGAGCCTTCCAGGACCACGCACTGTGTTCTGCCAAAGAGGAATCCTTGGACCCATTTTAATGTGTTGCCTCTGACCCCATAATTGTCGTGTGTGTGAGACCTTGTCGAATGCTTTGCTGAAATCGAGCAGGATAGCGTCTATTTGTTCATTTTTGTCAAGTCCTTTGACAAGGTTGTTCACAGTGGTGAGTAGCTGTGATTCACAGGAACGACTGCGTCGGAAGCTATGCTGGAAGTCCGACAGTATGTTGTTGTTGTCGAAATGAGCCATGATGTTGATAACAATTATATGTTCCAGGATCTTACAAGAGATTGATGTGAGAGAGATAGATCTGTAGTTGGATGGTGTAGATCTGTTTCCTTTCTTGAAGATTGGGGAGACATCAGCTGTTTTCCAGTCAGCTGGGAGTGTACCACTGTCTAGAGAAAGCTGGTAGATCCTGGTCATGCCTGGGGCCAGTTCCTTGGCACAGAGTTTGAGGAGTCTGGTGGGGACTTTATCTGGGCCTGCAGCTTTGTGTGGCTTAAGTCCAAGGAGAAGCTTGAGACACCCTTCTCTGTCACAGTAATGTGGCTCATATCTGAAATATGGCATTTTGAAAGTGTGGCGGGTTTGAGTCATCTTCCTTAGTGAAAACAGAGGTGAACTGGTCATTAAGTATGTCAGCTTTCTGTTTGCTTCCACTGAAGGTTATCCCGTCTTTCTTCAAGTGTGCTACTCCAAAGTTTTCTTTTTACCTGGATTTGATATACTGCAAGAAGACTTTGGGGTTTTCATGGTCCTTGAGGCAACATGGTGGTCATGTGCACGCCTACATGTCAGCTGAGCTTGGCGCTTGATAGCTATGTATCTATCCCAGTCATGTTGGGTGTTAGATTGCCTTGCACGCTTGAACCAGCGTTTCTTCTGCCGTGTGATACGTCTGATGTCTCTGGTAACCCAGGATTGGTTGTATCTTTGTGATGTCTGTCTTGCTGGCAACTATAAGTGTATGAGATCATTGCTTAGCGAAAAACATCATACAGAATAAAGAAGCATAGCATGTATTTCTTTTGTTCCATAACATTTTATTCTGTTTATGTGTGTGAAATAACACAGGCATTCTATATTATGTAACGCTTTCGAAAATGACCATATGATACGGTGGCATAAAGGGGCCATCACAAATATTTTTTTCTACCAGGTGCGCACGTGATAGCTACTATGTGCGCACGGGATAGCTACTACGTGCGCATGCGATAGCAACCACGTGTGTACGCGATAGCTGCTACGTGCGCACGTCCAAATTACAACGTGCGCACGCGATAGCTATGTGCACATAATGATTGACCAACGAAGGGGCTATCGCGTGCGCACATGATAGATAAAATATTTCTGATGTTCCCTCTATGCCACCGTAATATGATTTTAAAAAGACCATTATTCTTTAAAATTCTTAAATGCTATATAAAATATTTCATTAGATATATAGCTTTATACTTTTTCATGTACAGATGCTAAAACTCACATGGAGATTTTAGGTCAAACTGTAGGTGTAATTGATTTTTTTATTGTTGATCTCAGGCTTTCAAAATATTTCAAAATTTAATTGTGACGACAGGCAATGGTATATCTGAATCCGAGAACATCGCCTCCCTTTATGTACCTTTTGTCAGAATAGGGAATTTTCTGTACTAAGTATTTAATAGCTAATTTAATACTTATACTCCGGTTTCGTTGATGGATACTTGAAAAGCATGAAACATCCCCTTTGTGGAACTGTATTTTAAAGTACTGGGCATTGTTTCAAGTAACAAAATTATAGGCCTACTCACTGGGCTAATTTCATTGTATGAAGTATCGTTGGGTGGCTGAGAGTCGTAAAGGAGAAACAACGTATATAAGCCACATGTACAAAGTGAGAAAAAATCTGGGCAGGATAGGCTGTTGCTTTACTAGAACTTCTTATTTGTCTACACATAAAACAATCTGCAGTTTACTATGACCATCTGAATAGGTATTTTAGTAAGATCTCGTTGTCGAACTTAGAACCTCCATTCCGTCCGTTAATCTATTAACAAGACCGGGCGTTAAGATACAAGACGATAATAACACAGGCTTCGGTAAAATGGCAATATCTTAAAATTAAGTATGATGAGATTTGACTATCAAAAGGATGAGCAACATATATAGTCTTTTACGTCGACTACTTAATGCAATGTCATCTTATATGGACACGCTATATATAGTAACATCTTCATAAAACAATGAGACATTAAGGCAATAATTATCGCCTTTAAGGAGAATCACATTTGAGAATGTTTTATTTGAGCCTTTTTTTAATCAGAAATGTGCCAAAATTGGGATAGTTTAACTTTTTATATAAAACGAAAACCACCAGTCAACCTTTTCCTTTTTTGGAGACTATAACAATATCACATATAGTCGTAAAAAGAAAAACGATTATCTCCCATGGACATGCGCAGAGACTTAGCAACCAATGTACACAGTTTGCAGCATAATATCGGTAAGTACAGTTGTGTTTATTTTTGTGTGATCGTTTAAAATAATTGGGTATGCAAGTTTTAGTGATATTATTTCAAAAGTTATTTTTAATCACACTATTATTCAAAGATGATTACTATTATTTAAGTTCAGAAAGCAATACTATTATATTGATAAATTAGATGCTATAAACTGATAAAGTTGTATCCATGACCATGATGACTTGCCTGGACTCATGCACATCATGACATGGGACAATATGCAGTTTATTTGCTTTGCTTACTCGGTAAACAGGGAAAATCTATTGATCAAGTTTGAGTAACCTAGCTATAATTTAGTGATAATAGATTGAAATTTATAATATTTTCTGTTGAAATAGAAAAAATTTAATAACCAAATCTCTAAGCAAACACGTTAGAGTTTTGGGTTCTAGTCCAGTTCCACAACTTCCTATAATTTCTGTAGCAAAAAATGACAGCAAACACCCATGGTAACTGCCAAAATGCACCAACTAATGATTTGTGTTCTTACATGTAGATTTAATAAATTAATTGTATTATAAATGATATTCATCAGGGGTTTGACATAAAAGCCGTACAAGGATGATAGATTGTAGATCTATTCTATACATTGACACTCTTTTCTATTCCAGGAAAACAACATTAAGTTATAAAGAAGGATAAGAAACCATGGGACAAGCACTGCAACGTGCTGCCCAGTGGACCTCTGCAAAGGGAGGTTCAGGTGGGAAGCTCGAATTTACAAAACTAAATGAAGATCTGCTCAATGCGATTATGAACTGGGTTGATGGTTTCGGTAGTAAATACCCTGAAGAAGCAAAACTTGTATTCAAATCACCCCTGACATGGATAACTACGCTTAGACCAGATAAACTATCTGGAGGTTTTACTGAAAAGTAAGGAATAGTTTTATTCTTTTGACATAACATTTAATAAAGTCAAGAGAAGAGTAATTCTTAGTAGAAAAATACTTATTTTGTGGTTAGAAACTTTTGTTTATGGTGTTGGCTGAGTAATTAAGGTTGCTGACTTTAAATTACCACTCTGCACCTGTTTTGAATCTGAATTCAACTTTTGTTTTTTTACCAGTTAATAAAGTTTGATTAAAATGTAGAACTTGAAATATCCTGGTATCATCATCCAACAGTAAACATTGAAAGAACTTTGCCATATAAGATTGTTTTATTGATAAATGAAATAAATTAGATACAGTTTACCTCTATTGAAGTTAACTGTTACATAAACAGATGACACATAAATGTCCACATCTGTTATTCAATGGGGGTATATTGGCTGTTTTGGGGAAATCACAAGAGCAGTCACCTTAAATGATTAATGCTATGAAGGTATTTTTTGTGTAGTAATCTTTATACATGTTTTCTAGGGGAGAAGAAATGGTATCAACACAGACAAGTGAAAAAGATGGAACTCCCATGTTGACATTGAAAAAAGTCAGCACTAATGAATACTCAGTGACTTCTATGTCTCTTGAGTTTTGTGAGAGTGTACTAAGAATGGCTGGAGACCAGAAGCTAATGGAAGTTCGCAGTTGTCTAGAAGGTAATATACAATTATTTCAAGACAAAAAATTTTCAGTATGTAAATCATTTACTTAAGTAGAGGATGCTGCAGACAGGGTGTCTATGGTTGTTACTTCAAACCACTTTACCCTCACCGCCGTGGGTTCAGGGGACTTTGCATTCTTTCTTGTGAGTAAGTTATTTAGCTGAGCCTACAGAACATTGGTGGTTCTACTCATGTGCCTGTCATTAAGAATGCACATAGGGGCACCTGAGGTCTTCCTTCACCAGTAATGCTGGAAAGTTGCCGTTGACCTCTACTGTGCTGGTATGATGTAAAAACCCAAACATCAAACAAATAGTTACTAACTATTAATGGAGAGCTAGGAGTATCAGTACAAGCCTTTGCTATTTTTTATTCAGATTGCAAATGAAATAAAAAGTCAATATTATTAGACCTTTAGAAAGTCGCAGTTTTACATCTGACTATGTGTGCAGTTAAAACATTTGTATATAATTTGCTCTGTTGTTTTCAGCTAACCGTGACCCTGCTACAAAAATGCTTGGAGATAGATTTGCTACTGTAGAAGGCGATGATAATTCTATATACAGGTAACATATTCTTTCTTTTAGAAGAGATGTTATTAAAAAATTCAAAAAAAACAATTATTGCTAAGTAAGAAACTTAGTATGTGACTGATAGATTTAATTCTTTTGAAATTGATCGATAGGTTGACTGTTGCAATTTATTATAAAAGAAATAACATTCAATGAAATTTAACAGTACACATTGAAAAATTAGGAATATCTTTATATGTAATTACCCTTTGAATGCTATACTAGTTTTAATAAAAGTTAGGAGCTTCCATTATAGAGCCAGACCAGTGTGAACATCCAATTGCAGTCTCACAAGGCTGTACTATTTATTGTTTGTTGCTCAATTTGAGTTCTCAGATACCATCATTCCCTGTTAATACTAATATCAGATAAATCAGTGAACTTTTAAGGCATGTTCATCACACAAATACAGTACTGGACATAATAGGTTAATGCCTGAATTAACAAATTTTGGCACTGAAAACAGAAATATGGCACCTGATGATTTATCTCCCGCCAAAAAGTTTAAATAATTTAAATGATAATAATAACAATTCCCCACAATTATTTTCTAATAAATATCCTATTAGAATTTGCTTTCTGTAAGATTTAAAGCTGCTGCATCCAGATGAGTAAAATTATTTCTAGAAATTCAATCTTAGAAAAATGTACTAGGATCTTAAGAAAAGTAAAAATATTCAATATTTAATTAATTATTTAGGAGCCTACATATTATGTGAGATTAATGACCGATTTTGCAGTATCAGTCACTATCTTTCTACTGCGTTACTAACACAGTCTAGGTATTTATGTATATTTTATAGGCTCCTTTAGGTAATTTACGTGGATTGTAAGTGCCGTTTGCAGTGTGTAAATTACTTTCTTTGTTCACTTCACAGTATTTTATTTTTAAATACATTTTTAAAATTTTCATGAAATTAGCATGAATCTGGAGGCATGCTGCTTTAACATCATGAGTATTGTCACTTTTGTTTGTATGTGCAGCAAAATTTCCTGAAATTCCCCTTCATATAGAAACAGGTCAAAGAGAGGGCTCTAACAAACAACTTGTAATTTCAGGTTTATTGAAGAGATTACTAAAGAGATTGAGCAAGTAGCCAAACAGGAAGGTGGAGAAGGTGGTCACAGCGAGATAGAAGAGAAGAAGTTGCAACTTAAACTTCAGCTTCAGATCAACCGTCTTGACCAGCAGTTACTTCAACAGTCCATTCAACAAATTGCTGGGTTAGTTTATACGAATTAATTTTAGTTTGATTGTGTTGGCAGCTATACTCATATTGAAACACTCTTAAATCCGTTCCTGGAACCAACCAGTACTAGTACCAGTTCTAAGCAATGAGTGTAAAGTTTCTTGCTCACAGAAACAACAGCTTGTCCCTGAAGGGGTTCGAACCAACACAGTCAGCAATCCTTTAGATTAATAATCTGACACATTAACCACTTGGCCATTGTTGGTAATTATTTATAGGCATATTAATTGCCATTATCAAATAAGATACTTTCTCTTTGAGGAATAAGTGTAAAATATTCTTAAATGATTTTATGTGTAAAGGTGTGATTGTGAACAGTTTTAAATAATCTCACCTGTTGGTGTTACCTCATAATGTAACATAGACTTTTATGCCAAATAGATGAGCAGAGCTGAAATATCTTTAAATGAATTCTGTTGTTGTTTTCAGTGAAGTGAGGTTAACACCACTTACTGTAGATGGTGAAGTAAATATTTTGCAGCAACTGTCAGGCACTGATGAGGAGAAATACTGTCTCGAATCAATAGAATACTGGGGTAGGTTTTTTATTTTCTGCTCTTGATTTATCAGAGGAGAAAATGGTCAACTGACTCAACTCCTTTGATTTTATATACATGGAAGCTGCATATGCAACAAAAATGATATACATGTAGTACTTTGTAAAAAGTTGTAAATTGGTCACTTTGTCATACTTAGTTGCTTTTGTAACATAAAACTTTTAGTTTTAGTCTAGAAACCTATATTTCTTACAAGTTTATAATTTCACAAATTTAAATGAATGTTACTTTTGACAAAATCCTTTAATTGCTGACCATTGGGAATGGCATTGTTGCCATTAAGTCTGTCAATTTATTCTTGTTGAAGATCTTGTTTTATTATAGGCTGCATCCTCATTCATACATATTTAGAAATTTTGTGAGCAAATTTCTGACTTGTTACATTTTTTCATTGTCTTTGCAGGAGACGGTTATATCTTCCAAAATAAATGCAGAGCGCAACCATGGCGACAGTTGCATGGCGATATATGCTACTTGCAGATTAAACCTCATGACACAGGCTTTGTCTATGTGACTGCCAATACCAGTGGATATTATTGCAATAGTGTAAGTTTTACTATCGTGCCCATAATGTCATGAAGTTTCTGATCAGAAAGCATAAAAGGTGTCAAAAATATTTTTGATTCCATTAAGGAGATAAATAAATTTGATTATATTAAAGCCTTTAATGGTAGCATTATAAGACGTTAACAGAGGTTTGCCATTTAAGTCTAGATCAGGGTCATGCTACAAATGTGTGTTGTCTGACCAGGCTTATATTTAACTGTCCTCCAAATACTGCCAGGTTCTTCACACTACCAAGTCAACCAACCATTTAACTTAATATTTATTGTATAAGTGGCTAAGTTAGCGACATAGAAATATTGGTGAATTTAGCAAATTGATGAAAATCGTTTTAATTTTCTCTAGAGTTATTATCAACAAAACTATCATTAAATTCTACCCTTTTACGATTTGCTAATATTTTCTCACATTATATGTCGAGAATTTTAAATCTGTTAACTTTTCAAGACATGGAAATATCCACTTATACATTACATGATTTTAATAGCATGGATATTTTTATTTCAGGGAGTTGATCCAAACAAAGCAGGGGAACTTGATTACACAAAACAGGGTGACTCCTACAGGGAACTTGTTACATTATTGAAAGAAAAGAGCCCTAAGTTTTCAGAGATGATTGAAAAACAAGCTTTTGCTCTCAAGGTAAGCTGATCAACTTAACTTTATGTTGCCATGGTGATTTAACTGGTAATGCTAGGCAGCTTTAAATAAAAACTGTTCTAATGATTAAAAATGTCAAAGTCAAGTGTATAAATTAAGTAGTTTAACTTAGCCTAATGTATTTTCCTACATATTAAATTTCTCTTACTATATTAGTAACAGGATAGAACTTTACTTTAATTTAAAAATTATAATTTCCATATGGTCTCCTTCTCTAAGGGGCCAGTCAATATCTCGCCTGTTGACATACATGTGAGATTTTGACTCATTTTAACAGATTAAGAAGCCATGCTAAAATTTTCCAACTAAAATATCTTGGAATTTACTTTTCTTATGAGTTCTTTCCCTTGAATAGATTGGGTCAAAATTATTTTCTAAAGATGTTGTAAAAAAAATTGAACAAAACTGAAAATTATTTTTCTTGGTAAATTGAGGAATGTAATGTCAATACAATAATTGCGATGTAAAGGGCTTGAGCAAAAAAAATAGATTGAAATAACTGATCTGTATATATTTCCTGGGTTAAAAAACTACAGTTATTTACAAGGGGAGTGGTGGCCTAGTGGGTAAGGTGTCTGCATCTCAACCCAGGGATTATGGGTTCGAGCCCTAATCAGGTCATAGCCATGCTTCATCATATGACACCAGTACTGGATGGTTCCAGGAAGCGAACTCAAAAGTGATAAATGTTAGTTGCAAGAACTTGTTTCGCAATCAAGCTTAAATAAATGAGCCGCGTCACGACAAAACATAATGGGTTTGCGACCAGCATGGATCCAGACCAGCCTGCGCATCCGCGCAGTCTGATCAGGATCCATGCTGTTCACTAACTATCAGTTTCTCTACTTGTAATAGAGTTGGTAAGCGAACAGCATGGATCCTGATCAGACTGTGCGTATGCGCAGGCTGGTCTGGATCCATGCTGGTCGCAAACCATTATGTTGGCTTTGTTGTGACGCGGCTCAAATATGTTTGAACCAACAGTTATTTACACCAAAACTAAGGTACTTTATGAAATCTTACAGGTGAAGGAGAAAGATGATTCGATGTTGATTCAGAAAGAAACAAAACAAGATCAGGATGGTGACGATTACAACAGGGAAAAATCACAAGACCATAAACTAACAAAGGAATACTCAAAAGATAAAGACACCAAACAAAAGAGCAAATCACAGAAAAAGAAGAAGTTAGAACCCTCACTAAAGTGGCGGGCACTTGGAATGGAGGAATATAAAGAAAGGTGAGTTATTAATAGATGTTATAAAAGTCATTACTTGATGTGAAGGGATGGAGAAATATAGGGACAAAATTTCAAGGATGGTGGGTTATTGTACTGAATTTGTCTCCAGCATAAACTGTGTACATGCAACTTCATATTAAATAACCACTGTCCATTGAAGATATTCATTTGAAATTTCAGACATGTCTTTCAATGATAAATGTCAATTATTTGCTAGGATCTATAGTTCTATTTTTGATGTTCACTGAATGATTCGCATTTTGTGAATTTCCTCTATTGTCCTTGCTCTTGTTTTACTATCACTCTAAATAAAGTCAAGCGTGCTGTCTGAATGGCAGCACTTATTTTTATTTACATTATGCTAGCTAAAATATATTGAACAATATCAAGTTTTACAAGACATTGACAAGACATTGCTTTATTAAAGCAGCTAACATTGTTTTGTATTGATCATAACTGGCTAAACTACTCATATCTCAACATGTAAGTATACCTGGAATTACTGTTGAGTATACCTCATTTTAACTGGAATATTATGTAATTATTTTCAGTGAACGAGAGAAAGAAAAGAAAGTAGTAAAAAAGAAGCAAGCTCCTAGCCGTATGAAGAGTAAAACTCCGATTGAGGCTGAGGACAGTTTCAGCGAGAGTTCATCCGAGAGTGAAGAGGAAGAGGAGGCTGTCGAGAGGCGAAGTGAAACTAACGCTGATTTACCCTCAGAATACTGGCAAATACAGAAACTTGTCAAATATTTGAAGGTTTGTCTTCCATATTTTGCTTGACTATTTGAAGTACATTAAGAGCTATTGTACTCACCCAGGCGTCTGCGTATTTTTACAATAAATTTCTGAGAATACCCGAAGACACTGGCCTACTGACAACTCCTGTTGTTTTTTTAATGCCTTTGAGGAAAAAAAAGAACTGGGGGGGGTTTACACTTACAGATTTTTTTTCAGTAATTTATTAGTTTATTTGCTGGTATGTTCAATATTTGGTATGTAGATATTTTGGGTAGACCACTTAAGAGGTTTGATAGGGTCAGATGACAACAAAATGATTTTGTTTAACTTTTTAAAGGAAATAAATGTTGTCTGCTAGGATATTGACTATATTTCTATAGTCTTTTTCATACCATGGAATTGATTGTAAATTTGAGGAGAATAAAAGACAAATATCAATACAAGGTGAAGATGTTTAAAATATCAAGGGAAGTAACTCAAAGTGTCATAATATGTACTATATATATATAGTAGCCTCCCTTACACCATACAACATATTTTCTTATATGAATTTGGTCATGGAAGTTTAAAAATTTTCAAAACTTAAAAATTTATTAAAATAATCATGTTTTTTTATATATTTTATCCAGGGAGGTAACCAAACAGCTACAATAATTGCATTGTGTTCTATGCGAGACTTTAACCTTGCTCAAGAGACTTGCCAGTTGGCCATTAGAGATGTTGGTGGGCTGGAAGTACTAATTAATTTATTGGATACAGAAGAAATTAAATGCAAGGTATGTTGATATCGGTGAATTTTTAGCCAATTTGTTTTTTTGTTTTTTTTTAAATTTTCATAAAATTTTAAAATGGATCAAGGCAATTGTTAAAATGTCAGCTGACAGTAGATTGGTCACCTCTGTCCATGTGAGGGGTTTGTGTTTGAAATTATACATCATGTGATGCCTAGGATTTGCCTTAACTAACTGCATTGCTAGACATGACAATTTTATGTCCCTTAATATCCCCTCATTTATTTTTATGATTCCAAAATTACTTTTTCAAACTTAATATTGGATTCTCTATATGATAATTGATGTGTACTATTCTTAATTCTACATATTTGATGTTTGAAATTTCACTCAAAACAGTTTTTGTCTTATATATACATTAGAATTATTCAAATTAATATATGGTGATCAAATCAGATTTATGTAAACTCTAAATATTAACTTCCTTTCAGATCGGTTCCCTAAAAATCTTAAAAGAGATTTCCCGCAATATACAAATCAGACGTGCCATTGCAGATCTTGGGGGTCTACAGACCATGGTTAAGATTCTTCGTGACCCCGACAAGGATCTTAAATGTTTGGCCGCAGAAACTATTGCAAATGTAGCCAAGTTCAGGCGTGCACGTAGAACAGTAAGGCAGCATGGAGGAATCAAGAAATTGGTGCGTTATAGTGTTTATAAGTACAGAAATGTACCATAAAACGCCTTATATATCATTCTCGTTTTTGTTTTTTTGCGTAAAGTTATCCCAAAAACAAAACTCCATGTGAACTTAACGGCACATACTTTCTCATACATACAAGTAGATTTTCTTTTATGTTTTATAAGTATATGTTAGCCTACACTTCTACAGTCTTTTGAATTTCTTTATTTCTCAAATTTGTTCTATTATTTTCTTTTACACAGATTAGTTTTAAAGCCAACTTAGTGTTAACAAAATAAACCAAAGAAATATTTTTTGTATACTAAGTCACTATTTGACAGAAGTTACTTATAACTTTTAGGTCGGCCTTCTTGACTGTGCGCCTCTTACTGGTCACATGACACCAGAGTTGGAGCGTGATGTTCAGGTGGCACGATGTGGCGCCCTTGCCCTCTGGAGCTGTAGCAAGAGTACAAAGAACAAAGAAGCTATGAGGAAAGCTGGCGCTATTCCATTACTGGCAAAGTTACTGAAATCAACACATGAAGACATGCTGATACCAGTGGTTGGTACTCTACAAGAATGTGCCTCAGAGGTGAGTTTGGAAAGGAAATTGAAAAAAAAAAAACAGTGTTAAAAATAAATGTGATGTGAAATATTATTCAAATCTAAAAAAAGATAAGATGATTTTGACTCAAGATTTCTGAGATTTTCTGTTTTATAGTTTTAAATAAAAAGGCTGATAAATTGGATTTTGATAATACTTTTTTAGATACACGTATAATAAAAAAAGTAGTGAAGTTTGATAAAATGAAAGTTATGTATTGAAATAGTAGTAAGTATGTAAACAGTCTATGTATGAAGAATCAGCCTCTATATAAGTAGTTCCAATGATTCAAAGACTATTTTCCTTATAGAATTTTGTGTCATGAACATCTAAAAAGTATATATCCAAAACTCAAATGTTTACTTTGGTTGCCTTGCATTTTAAATTGACTTAAAACATCTTATTATATTAACATATTTTATGGAATATTTCAGCCTAGCTACAGACTTGCAATCAGGACAGAGGGTATGATAGAAGACTTGGTAAAGAATCTCAAATCAGCTGATCCAGAGTTACAGATGCATTGTGCCTCAGCTATCTTCAAGGTAAAACAATTGGCCCTGCATTTGTTCAGACTTAGACTTAATTTTTAACTCATCTGTTTCGAATATACGGTCAATATAAGCAAAGTTTACATTTTATAAATGCCCCTAAAAACTGATGCAATTGATCACTTAAAAGCGATTACAATGTTGCTTAGCAACCATCTAAATAGTGATAATTTTTTTTTTTTTAATATATTTTTACTGAGTTTGATTTATCCCACAAACAATATTGGAAAAAATTACGTAAAGGATTGACATATAGCAAGATTCTTTGCAATGTTATTGTTATGTTATGCAGTTGCTTTAGATTATTTTTTGCTTTTTATCTTTGTTGAAATGTGTTATATAGCATTTTAAAATTTATTTATTCAGTGCGCTGAGGAGAAAGAAACTCGGGACCTGGTCAGACAGTATGGTGGGTTGGATCCACTGGTGGCTTTGTTACAGCAGAGTGACAACAAGGAACTGCTGGCTGCAGCAACTGGTGCCATCTGGAAGTGCGCTATAAGTACAGAGAATGTAAAACGATTCCAAGATCTCAAGGCTATTGAATTACTCGTCAGTTTGTTGAATGACCAGCCTGAAGAGGTAAACTTCTTGTCTAGGTTTCTTTCCTTTATTTGTTGAGCAGAAATCTGTCCATTAGAATTAATTTTAGTTTGTGTTGGAAGCAATAAGCTTAATGAAACAGTCTCACATCATTTCTTCCAACCAATGAGTGCATTAAACAGTGTCTTCAAGGAAGCAACCGCTTGCCCCTGACAGAGTTTGAACCCATGTGACCAGTAATACCTAGACTATATTTTTGACTGTTTTTTTGAAATTTGCATGTACATATGTAATATCTCCATGAAATGCAAACAGATTTTTTTAATATCATCTGATTAATAACTAGGTTTGTTAAAAATATATTGTGCTGTAAAACATGTCTTTACTTTGCAGGTTTTAGTGAATGTCGTAGGTGCTTTAGGGGAACTAGCAAAGGAAACGCCAAATAGACAGTCAATACGAAAGGCAGGCGGTATTTCACCGTTGGTTAACTTACTAACGGGAACTAACCAGGCTCTCTTGGTCAATGTTACAAAAGCTGTAGGGCAGTGTGCAGAAGAACAAGATAACATGGTGTAAGTTAATATATTTCATAAAATAAAAGCTATCCGTTTATTTAAGTGTCATTCACTGTGGTTCTGCACTGGTTTGTGCTTCGATATGTAACCTAAATAAGACAAAGGGTCATTTGTATTTGAAAGTCATAGTTACTTATTCTTTTAATTTCTTTTTATACTGTGTTGGTTTGACGTAAAACCCAACAAAAACTTTTTTTAAAACATAGGAAATTTTTGCATTTAAGCTCTCATTGCATATCGAAATATTGTTACAGAATGGTGATTGTGCCATGTAAGTGTAGGTTTTTTTTTGTTTTTTGTTTTCAGTATTATAGACAGATTGGATGGTGTAAGGTTGCTATGGTCATTGCTTAAAAATCAGAACCCAGATGTTCAAGCGAGTGCAGCCTGGGCTATTTGTCCATGTATAGAAAATGCTAAGGTAATAATGCCTTTACATGTATATCTACAATTTCTAACACCACTTTTTGAAAAACAAAACCATTTGTTTGTGTCAGATATAACCCTTTACTTCAAATAAGGATTCCCATGGCTAATGATGTATTAAATGATGTTTTGCTAACTTGTGTTGAAGACCACCTCTGAATTAAAATCACATTGTAAATAAAGGTCACTCTCTGACAACCCTTCAATGATTAAGTAGAACAAAGTTACCTCCATATAAAGCCCACTTACCGATAAAGGTCATGTTCAGTCTAACCATTTGATGACCTTTGTTCACTGGTTTGGCTGTAATGGGCATGTATCTCTGAAATTCATTTACAGTTGTAGAAGTATTCCTCATTTTGAGGGTCTAAATGAAATTTATGATATTATACATTGTTTGGCCTTTTATGTACATCTAAATTTTTAACCAATAGTTCATATATTTTTAGGATGCGGGTGAAATGGTGCGGTCATTTGTTGGCGGCCTAGAGCTGATAGTCAGTTTGTTAAAATCTGATCACAAGGAGGTGCTAGCCAGCGTGTGTGCTGCTATAGCTAACATTGCCAAAGATGAGGAAAACCTGGCTGTTATAACAGATCATGGAGTGGTGCCCATGTTAGCTAGATTAACTAATACTGTGAGTATTTCACTTACCTTACAATGATTAGTAATACCAATTAAAGTTGTGTTTTAAGGCATTGTACATTGTTTTAAGAAGTTGTTGGAACCAAGGGAGGTAATTTGTAGTATCATTTGACAAAGAATCATAAAAATCAAGAGATTTAAACTTTATGCAAGGTTTATGGTAGTATAGAAGTGTTATATATAGTTTGTTACAAGTAAACAAGGAACAAATCATTATTTCTGATTTAAAGGTAATAATTAGGCATTTTAAGCCATATCTTAATATTTTGAAAGCTGTCACAAGCAATATTTTACAGGTAAAAGACAATTGCAAATATTGAATAAAACTATAATATATAGATTTACACTGTCTACTGGTACAGACTGGAATGTCTGGCCAAAGGGTAACTGTTAACAGGCTCTACAATAAACGAGGTAACGAGGCTCTACACTAAACAGTTACCCAAGAGTTAGACCATTCCAGTCTGTGACGACAGCTGATGTTTGATTTTTTTTCTTGCATATAACATATTGATAATATGAAAAATTACGGAAACTAATATTTTCTTTTAGCATTTGAAAAATTCTCATGGGAATGACATTAAAAAAGCACATGACTTGTCTTACAGTGGTGTAAAAAGACTAAATAATCCTGTCTTACAGTGGTGTAAACAGACTAAATAATCCTGTCATTTACAATTGTAACTGATTTACCAGTGATGAAACATATATCTTATATCATATTTTGTGTACATTTATTATGGCTCATCTCATGAATTTCTGTCATTATTTTTTAATAACAAGCAATGATTATAAACTGTTACAAAACTATTATTAACATTTCATCAAAGTTTATTCTCATTTGGCCTACTTCAAATCTCTTGTTATGGCATACGTTGACTAGAAAATTCTAGATAAATGCAACCTGTAGCTGTATAATTGTCAGACGTAGGCCGTCACATGCTGAATTTTTCCAATACATCAGCTTCTCTGTAGAATGTCACGGCCACTGGTAATCATTTCCATGCATAATTCATAAAGCTGTTTACTTCCAATAAGTTATTTTATTTTTAGCATGGGCATACTTCTAGCTATCAATTGTTTTTATGCAATTATTCATTTGATATTCTCCTAAAATGTTATATGCTTGCATACAAAATACCAAACGTCAAATTGGAAAACTAGAAATTTTGACATTTTTAGATGTTCTTTAAATATTGGCTATACTTGTTTTGCTAAACTCTTAATGCGTAAATAATTATCTTTCTGGCCATTTATTTTTGTTCCTGCATTTGGGACTTCAGTTGCTAATTTATTTCACGCTCTCCAGATTTTGCGCTGATCGTGATGATAAACATCACTACTAATGGTTTTGCTGTTGAAACAAAAAGAGAATAATTTCCACTTTCGTTACATGTTGAAATATCAATGCCGAGGCTCAATATTTAATGACATAAGTGGTATCATTAATAGAGTTGGAAATCCAATGTAATCATGCTAGTTGATCAACAACAAAGCACAGGACTCTCATATCGTATTGATTTTCCTGGTAATATATAAATAAAAATGAAGTTCAAATTTGCAAACCTCTCAAATTTCACTGACATTGTGTAGTAGTTTATTGATTAGATATTTAGGTCAGGTTTTTTTTTATTAAATTTTATTCATACATCATGTGATGTAGTTGAAATGCCTTGTTAATGTGTCAGAATCACTTGACTACAATATAAATAAAGTTTATTATACATGAGTTTGTGGTTACCTTATGTTACGTAGGTGATACAACATGGTTTATCATTGTAATATTTTCTACACTGGTTTAGAAATGTTGAACATATTGTTTTTTTAAAATAACATTTTTGCCCACGGACATTTTTTCTGCAAAATACATTAATTTAGTTAAATTTGCCCATTTAAGTGGATGATTTTTTTTACCCCTGGTATTGCTTTAAGTTTGTACATTAGACCCAAGGTTAGCCAAAATCATCCTTCCTGTTTCAGCGCCATATGACCTAAACATGTATGATTTTACAAAAGCTTTCAACAACTTCTACTATTTGGGGAAAGTTTAAATCTCTAACTGCTGGTGGTGAAGAATTACTTACCTATGTAAAACCAGGTCTGTCTGCTTATTGATGCATCTTATACCTGTTAGTATTTTAGTACTAAACCATAAATCTTGTAGATAGTATAGAGCCACTGAAATCTCTTGAAATAATGACACTTCTACATACTTATAATGATTAATATTAATTTCTTTAACTAATAGTTAACATAAGAATATTTTTTTTCTTTACTTTTTGTATGGCATATTGCTCATACTATATGTATATGGTAGAGTACAAGGTATGTAAGTGTATTAGAAAATACAGGTGAAAATTAAAGATTTCACCGCCATAATAATGCATATATGCATACTGCTCGTGCTTATTGTCACACAAATTTAGAAAATGCCACTTTAACAATAAGTGAAAATTCATAAGAAAAATGTTTTTTAATTGTGAATTTTTTTATTATTTTTTTAAAAAACATTTCATTTTAGCTTCATCCCTTATGTTACCATTTTAAATCATCATATGAAATAATATGTGCATGTATAATTATGTACCAAATTGATTTTCTCGGAAGTTAGACAAATTAAATCCCTTTTAATTAAATTTCATCTATGATGTTTGTAAAGTCTGTATCATTACCAGTAATTATCTTTAATTTTTTGTTGTGTTTTATTTCTTTGTATGGTATATAGTATGGGAAAATGTCCGACAAGGTAACCATAGTTACTCCATGTAGACAATGTAGTCATTCTTTCTTCTGTCTATCCATTGCTGTCTATTTCTTCTTCTGTCTATCTCATAATATACTGAGTGTTTGTGCAGACTTAAAAATATTCAAACTATCTCCTGAGGAATGAATAAATATTTAATATATTACATACCAAGATATTTTTTATCTGATAAGCTGGCAAAAAATAAGACTAAATAAGTTGTACAATAGAAAAAGTTGTAAATACTTTCAATATAGGTCTATTTAATTCAATTGATAAGCTTTTTGGTTTATGTTTTCATTCATACTTTTTATATAAAGTCAATTTTACTCAAAAATTTACCAAATTCTGTCGCAAAAATGAATTTATAATTTTATGTTTTTTTAAAAAAAACAACAACAACCTATCAGTTCAGTTTTTAAAGAGTAGGTACATGTTTCATTTTTGTTTTTTTTATCTGCCACCTGCGTATTGTTTGATTTATTTAAGTTTTTTTTTCTCTCTCTGTTACACAATGTTATCTCCCTAGTTGAGTTTGTTTATCAGAGATAAACCCTTTGAGTGCTATATACATGTACAGTGATATTGATATGTCTATGCTCTTGATATGGCAAGACCTGGACAACCTGCTATTTATATATATAGTGATTATTGGCAGTTAAATTTGAAGAATCCTTTAAAATGGGAGCGTCTGTGGCCGAGTGTTTTTAAACCACTTGCCCTTCACCACTGTACGTTCAAATCCTGCAAGGGACTTTCAAAATACTTTCATTAGAGGAAGTTATCCAACTTGCTTACAGAATGTTAGTGGTTAATTCTACTCAGTTGGCCTGTTTATGCTTGAAATAATACACTGAGGGTTACCCGAGGTCAGTTCATTCATCAGTATTTTTTAAGCAGGAAAATTGCGCCATATGACTACTGTACTGTGTTGGTAAACTTAAACCCCACCCCTAAAAAAAAAAAATCCTTCAAACTTACAATTATGGGCAGTTCTGAATTCACGGTAAGTTTTCGAGTTCAGCCGGGTTTAGGGTTAACTGAGTCTGCACAAACCACTACCATTCTTGTCTTTATCTCTAGTGTTACATAATATACATGTATATCATGGTCTGGGTGCTTCTCGCCAACAATATGGTCTGTTCTATTGCAACCTTTCAGGTCAAGGTCTATTCTTATTCTTTTGAGAAGTATAGTTTTATGAGGAATTTTGAAAGGATGTATCAAGCAACTTCAAACAACTTTAATATAAATTTTGGTGAGCAGTCTCTTTCTTTGTAAGTTAGCCTTAGAAGTTCAATGGCTGAATCATGGGAATGTTAGAATTCAAATTTGCAGGTTTCTTCTTTGAAACTCCTGCTACTGGAACTTTTATAATATAAACAGTCTTTTACACACACAAAGAAAAAGCTGAGTGGTTAAGGTTTATGCTTATCAACCTGGGAATTCTGGGTTTGAGCCCTCATTGTGTGGTAGCCGTGGATACTTGGAAGTTCAAAAGGTTGGCGCTTAAGGTCACCCTAAAGTGTGATCAATTAGGTAACCAATTTAATACCCTTCACAGTTATATAAAATTTCTTGTACATGTAACATAATGACTTCTTTGAAATCTAAAGATTTCTTTGGAACTCTAAGATTCTCTTTAAAACCCAAAGGTGGCTTTGGACTCGAAGGTTGCTTTGGAATGACCTGTAAACAACTGTCATATTTCATATCTGGTTCAAGGTTAATTTGTCTGTTATTTAATCCATTTTAACTGTAAAGTTGTCTGTCTTTATAAAAAACAAGTTTCTTGTATTCTTATAGGTACATAACATAGGGGTATGGTTTTGATGTTTTAATGTATTTATAGTCTGTAAATGTTGTAGAAAATATTTAGTGTTTTGTTTAAAGGGACTCCACTGACATATTTTGACATGAAAGGTCTGGAAATCATTTTTGAAATTTAAATGTTCCATGTGATGTAGATCTGGACAAATAACATAATATGTGAAAAATTTCAGATCATTGGCTCACTCCATTTCACCTGAATAATTATTCAATTGTGAAAAATGACCTTAAATTGAAAAGCATTGCAATGCTTTTTATTCAGATCAGGCTAAGAATAACATTAAATTTATGAATTTGTAATTATTTCTGAGTATATTTCATAATTATCTTTTGTAAAACTTTCTATTTCAAGTGCCCCCAAGTGTAAGAAAATAAAGTTTTATGCTTTTTATGCTTTTTTACCTCAGTGGAGTTCCTTTGATAATGAAGCTTTAAATTGGTAATGAGTTATCATATAATAACTATTTTGATTAATATTTAAGACTGTCGGTAAAAAAAAATTATAGTGATTATATTATAATAAACAAAGATATGTTATTTATAGGTAGAAATGTGGTTGAAGAATCCAGTGATTTATATTTTAATGATACAAAATTGGTCAGTCTTTCAATGGTTCTGATTTCACAGTAATATTGTCCAAGTTGCTGACTTTTCATACACAGCTCCCCCACATCCTGAAACCATCGTGAATTTTAAGATTGAATAAAAGATGGTTAAAACTGAAGGACATATTTTTAGTGTAAAATTTTCCTTGATTCATTCCTCTATTAACTTATTATACCCAAATAAATTACAAAGAAGATTTTAATTAAGGGAAGACTGGTTTAAACTGGAGATAGAGGAAATGAACATTTGTAAGATAAAAATCTATAAATTTATCAATTATAGTTGATTTGTTGTTGTTTACTTCCTGACTGAATATTGGTTCGACATAAATCAATTATTTTCCTTAATAATATTTCATACACTTTTTTTGCCCCAATACATCCTGGCGTTCTTGTCAGGTTGAGAAATGAATTGTGTCTTATGAGTCTGTATCAGAGATAGATTTATTGACTGATACCATGATTAAGATCTACACGTCATTTGTGACATTTGTTCTTAATGGTACCCCATAGATATATAAACTAGTCACCAAGTTGTCAGATATATCGTGCTGAATATTGTACATGTCAAGGGTCACATGGCCATTGTTCATTGTAACAGGACTTATTTGTTTCAATTCAGTCTCAGGATCAGAATTCAATCTTTTTCAATATCAACCATAAAATATGACGATTTTTTGTAAAGAGAGGTGTTTTTTTTTTGTTTTTTTTTTTTGTTTTTGCTCAATTGAAGTTTTAATTATCTCATCTGACTAACTTATAGAAGAATCAGATCTTTAGCCAATATGTGACCCCAGCATGACATTCTGAATGACATGTTAAATGATTTAAAAGTATAAGTTTAAAATTTATTGGCAAAGATTTGTAATTATCAGCATTAATTTATTATATTATCTGCATAAATAAAATTTCAGTATGCAAATCAGCACAAAACGGGTGACAGAAAGGTAAAGTTGTTTCTATCACAGACTTACTGTGTGAAACTAAAAAGATACATAACAAATCAGCATGTTACAAAAATTGCGCTATTTTTCACAAACTGAGTAAATGCTTCATTTTTCTCCTCAAATTTGCTAATGATTATGCCCATAACAGCTACAATTTTTTTTGTACCTTATTTTTTGGCTTCCTGTTTAAGTAAAACTAGCCTAATTTGTGGTTTAAAAATTTGAGTGAATTTAAAATAACACAACAGTTTAAGTTCTAATACATCATTCTGCTAATTCAAGTTTATTTACATATTTTTAGTTTGTTGTTTAATTCTCTATCAATGAAAATTTGAATTAATATAATTATGAGTATTAATTTCTCTATTACATAATATTGAGAAAAAATTACATTTTGGCATATTTTGTTTCATATAAGAGAAGAATAAATTTAAAGTCCATAATTATAGTTACTGTAACAGTTGTTTTTCTGAAGCACAAACAAACAGTAAAAGTTATGGATAATATTATTATATCATTTTTTTCTTTATTTTATATCTTTTGAAATTTTGTGTAAAAATTACATATCAAAATACAAACCAGAAAGGTCAATAACTACATTGCATGACATTTTTAATTCAAATCACACATGTAATATTATTTTAACGACTTTCGTTAACCTATAACTGCAATCACTGCCTTTATAAATTTATTAACAACATTTATATAATTATAATGATCTTCAGGGCATAATAAAAATTGAGTTTTGAGACAGCCCATCTTGATTAAAATCTTTCTGAGTATTTATTTTTTTTACACTAGATTTCTTTATCTACTATTTTTATCATTATCACAAACTTGTCAAATGCACTTGGCAAATTTACAAGTAAAAAAAAAAGAAGAGAATGAGGACTTTGTGTTTTTATATAATTAGGTAATTCCTTAAGCTTTCAAATAAGGCTTAACTATTCAATTGATTAGATCTATTCAATTTCATAAATTAAAGAGCTATATAAGGTCACATTAAATAAGTTCAATATTTTTTTTTCAATATTAAACAGGCCTGAAAATCTGACAGTAATATGAACAGAAGATGAATAATTATTTTCAATATTTCAAGATTAAATTAAAGAACAAGGTTTAATAACTTAGTTAAGATTTTATAAGTCCCTTTAGTTATTAACTTATTAAATTTAATATTCTAGAACCTCAAGCTATTAGCTAAGTTTACAATTACAATAGAACCAGGCCAGACTGCAGGACAACTATCTTTAAATTTTCACAGTGGTACATGTATATGAATTCCCTCAAAACTGATTATCGACAGTCCAGACAGGACAAAATTTATAAGAAATTCAGCTTTATGGTTAAATAAAAAATAATGGCAGAGTGAGTAATTTAAGTACAGGTTTCATAAAAAGAAACATGGTTGTGACCCTAAGTATGGTTTAAACTCATAACTACACATAATTCCAGGTTTGGAGGCAAACACTGCAACAACTCAGGTCACTGCTGAGCCCCTCTGTGTATATATTTTTAACCTTATATAACATTTAAACAATCCTTAAAGGTTGAAGAGGGTCAAACAAGCAACATTTTACTGTCTTGATTATACAAATATGGACTTTAAAAGAGATAAAGTGATCAAAGTTCATTGACCTGATTAAAAGCCTCGTTAAATCATCAGTGTGGTCAATGATACACTGAACCACATTTATACATCACCACTTTTTGAGTTCAATTTTCAAAGGGGCATAACTTTTAAGTGTAAGAACACTATCCAGATACCTTAAGCCCTTTCAAATTCAGTATCTAAAGGGGCATAACTTTTAACTCTAAAAACACTATCCAGTGTCATAACACTACTATATATTGTTCACATTAATAGAGGAGAAAGAAATAAAAAAAATATTGCAAAAAAAAATATGAAGGACCACTCTTTTACTGAGACCATTGTTCCATGACTTTTTTTTGTTCTTATTACTATTGTGACTTTTTTTGTCTTATTACTATTGTAAATGAAAAATGTGATAAAAGACATCACATTTAACTCTTAAGTTAAGTCCAATTTTCATACAAAAGTGAAACATTTGGAAAATTCTGGAAAAAATCATGTATGACAGCACCTTTAAATTTCCTGTTCAATTTATATATGAAACTGAAAAAAATGAAATCTCACCTCCCCTTAAAGGATGATATTACAATGTAAAGTATTATTTTTATCCAATCAAATCTCAAGTAAAAGAAAACTTTGTTATTAAGTGGATGTTATCTGATTAGAGACTGATATATTGATATTATCAAAGGCAGGAAATTGATTTTTTGCTCCATAACTGGATAGGTATCAATCCCATGTTTGCAAAATAGGCTTCAATTTACTTTGGACTGGATTAAAATAGGTTTTTCTTCCACATATCAATATTTGTATGAAATTCCATCACCAGGTAAAGCATAAGGATGTCCGGCTTACAGGTACATATGAGCAAAGGGCATTGATTGGTTACTGCCCACATTAATTACCAATCCCAAACAATATAAACAAGCAAACAGCAGTGATATATATTTCATGTAAAATGAGAGTAAATATTTTATATGATAGCGATTCTATGTCATTCATTTCCAAAGTATTGAATAATGATATATAATTATATAATTATGATATGTATAATATATCATTTCACATTTATTTTGTCTAAAAAGGAAATAACTGCCATGAATTAATAAAGGTTGCTTTTAACAGAGTTCACTGGTATATATACAGTCCAGTAATTCCATGTTAAATTAACCATGTAAGCTTTGTTAAGTTTTAAACTTGCAATAAATAGATGAAACAATATAACAAAAACTGAAAATATAAGCTGAAGCTGCCCTTATCTTTTCAAATGAATAAGTTTCACATGTGTTCTTGATTGTAAAGACTTCAGACACAATAAATTTTGCACATAGTCAGCAAACTGACTTTTGTACAGGGAAAATTTTCTAGGAAACTTTTAGGTCACATATACATATTTTATGAATGACATTAAAAACCAAAATACCAGGCAAAATTCCAGATAAAACAAAATGCCATGTAGAAGCCTATAAAAATGTAACTTGCATGAGGTTCTTTGTTTTATTTATAACAAATGCATTAAAATACTGGGTTTTAATTTCTTGACTTGTAACTTTTACCCCACTGTAACTGAAGGTTATAAGCCCACCAGTATAGGGCCAGGTCAGTATGCAGAGCCATGCAGGTTGGCTAGAGAGTGTACTGTTCGAAGTTCAATTTTGTTTTAAGTTTGATCCTTAAATCCCTATAAGTTTGAATGAACTGTTCCAAATCTAAAACATTAGCTAATCCATACACAAATTCAGCAGAGTAATGTAATATTAATGTTGGCTACACTCATTTATTTTTCAAGCCTGACTTTACTGGATTTGTGTAATGGACTTGGCCCTGCTTTAAATCTGGAACAGTCCATTAGCTGTTTCAGGTTTTTTAGTTAACTCGCCTATTGGATTTTGAGTAGCCAATAGCATTATAGTTAATTAAAATATGTTAGGTCTCCATCAATGTGCAGCCTGAATTGGCAGAGGGCCCAAACTATATTGATGCCAAAGGCATTATGTCATTTACATCCTTATATCTGCCATTTTGTACAAAAGATTTAAATGATAAATGAAACAAAGTCGGATTTCCAGCAGCTCAATCTAATAATCTAAATGTCTACAGAACTATTTAAATGCATTCCAGATGAATGCCACTTTAAAATAAAATAGTGGTTTTGATATTCTATAATTCCCATGATACAGTCTGCTTGGTTATTGCCTGATATAATTGTTGCATTTTACTGAATATTTTATATTACAATGATTGATTTTTTGCTGGCGACATTCTACTGAAATATATGTTGAACAAATCTATGGTATATTTTGTATTGATTAAAGTTTAAGAAAGGGCAGAGTTTGTTCATGGTGAACTCTTCATGGGTTATTTACCCACCCTGCCCATCAGATCTGGGTGAATATCTTTTAATAAGATATTTGTACATATAATTTAATTAAAATATGATTGTGTACTAAACTGTTTAATGCCTTAAGAGAGTACTTAGAAAACTCATTTATAACAGAAACAGAAAATTACATTTTGATTACATGGAAAAGAATTTAACGAAACATGAATTTTCTACTTTCAGACAAATGACAAATTGCGGCGCCATCTAGCAGAAGCAATAGCAAGATGTTGTAATTGGGGAAATAATCGTGTGGCGTTCGGTCGAGAAGGTGCCGTAGCCCCGCTTGTACGATATCTTAAATCTTCAGACGAAAGCGTACACCGTTCTACTGCCAGGGCTTTGTTCCAGTTGTCCAAACATCCAGAAAACTGTATCACAATGCATGAATCCGGTGTTGTTCAGGTAAGTCTGGCTCAAATACCTTTACAATACCTCAATTGGTCAAAGTCGTGGCTCTATTCATTCATCCTGCTGGTCAAAATATATCATCTTGTAGTCACGTGACTCATCTTGTCAGTCATGTGACTCCAAGTCCCAACTCCTTGTCATATTGTTTAGCCTACTCATTATTTGTTTTAAATAATTGTTCATTTTACTGAATTTATTTAGAAGAACTTTAAAAATTATTATAGGGAGAGATGTTTTACTCATCCTAGCTTGGGCCTCACACTTTGGTTAAGTTTTTGATGCAAGCTGGTAGCTCTAAAAACTACTGCAGGGAATTGGTTAAAACAGTATAATGGGTACATGTCAAATAACACTGAGTTACGTTTTCATAGAGTTATAACTATCTTCCTACTATCAAGGACTAAGAAAAGTTGATCATTTTCTTACGGACAACTCTTATTATTCTCGTTATTTTTTCAGCCACTGATGAAAATGGTGGGATCAAGTGATGAAGATTTACAAGAAGCTGCTGCGGGCTGTATTGGAAACATTAGAAGACTTGCATTAGCCAATGAGAAAGCTCGATATCAATAGTTAACCAATCAGAGACCATCTTACATTTTTTAGACACCATCCAATCAAAACTGACATTATGAAAATGCAATAAGATGCAATTTGTTTAAAATTTATGTATAAAAAATAATAAAACTTGTTAAAACTAAAAAGTCAGTCCATTGAATAACAAAAAATTACAGACAGTGTGTGTACTTTTATCTCTATAGACATTTTATTTTGATAACAGGTTAAGATAAAAGGGTGTGCTGATAAATTTCATTATCTCTAGCTTAGAGTTCAACATTATATTAAATATGAATGACTAAAGGTGTCTTGTGCAAAATCATTAAAAGTCAATGACATGTGATAATATTAGTTATTCAAACTTAACTATAACTCGGGTTCAGAAGTTAATGTTTTATAATTCATATATCTTAATTTTTGATCAATGAACTTAACAGCTCAATGTACAATGTTTTCATCCAGGAATGCAATACAAATGGAAATGATATCCCTGCCAAACTTTTTTTAATTTCCCCCTCCCTAAAAACTACACATGTATGTACTTTGAGAAAAAATAAACACCCTGATAATTTTATTTTGTTGTTATAGAAATTACATTGGTGTCATTTAGCAATAAATTTATTTCTGAGGTATTAATTGTACATTCTTGACATAAAAATGGCATACTATAGAATATAGATTTTGTTCAAAAATGTGTAAAGATTTAATCTAGGCACTCAGCTTTTCTGTATAATATAAGTTGTATATTTAAATTCATTTCAAACAAAAGGTATCAGTATATTTTCTCATTGTGAGAAATAATAAAAAAATAAACACCACTGCCTCCTTTTACTTATATTAATTTATTGCTTTAATCTACCAGAAGACCAGATATTTCTCTTTTTTCTTTTTACTATTTTATTTAGTGGTATTGTATTGTATTTTGAATTTGTTTAATTTGAGGGTGTGCTACCAGTATTTTTGTTCATGTTAAATTTAGTTTAAGATCTTAAAATGCTACTTTGTATGTTATTTCTTAGTTACGTGTATTTATAATTTAGTGATTATAATTTAGTTAAAACCGTCCAAGTAACTGTGATAATTATTGTACAGCGTTTGATTTGAATAGATATAGAATGCCTTTTATTTATGGAGCACCTTTTTACATTAAGCATTAAAAAAATTTGAAAGGAAAAGTTATTTGTTATAGACAAAAGAAAATAAAAGAAGAAAAACCTACACTCATTTCTTATCATTTTACATAATCTGAAGCTGTTTTGTAACTTACTGGAATCACTGCAGACACAATCGATGATTCACACTTTTCTGTCTCTGAACATACCAATATTTCGAAATGCATTAAATTTTGCCCTGCATTGAATTTGGAACAGTCTTTTTGTCAAGTTTAACAGATTTCATTATCATCATGCTGTGGGATTATACAGTTTTGTGTAGCAATTTTTTTAATTTTTTTTTTTTAATGCGCCAGAAAGCCCATATGGGCGACCGTACACTCAAGTCAGGCCATCCTAGAGTGTCCCGCCGAGATTGTTTCGTCAATTTTTTTTCAGCTTTTATTGGTGGAGGAAGACTCCAGGTGACCCTCCGGGCATTATTTCAGGCACGAGCGGGCACCTGGGTAGAACCACCGACCTTCCGTAAGCCAGCTGGATGGTTTCCACACATGAAGGATTTCGACCCGAGTGAGGATCGAACCTACAGCGGTGAGGGACCTGTAATCTCTAGTCAGCGACCTTAACCACTCGGCCACGGAGGCCCCCATGTGTAGCAATAGACAAGTATATTGTTTTGTAGGGCAAAGACCAAACATCTGTAGCTTTTTAGCTATTAGTAGGATAAATGTTTAATTATTAGTATCATACAATCACAGGTATACCAGTCTGAAAATGCAGCACTGCCATTGGTCAATTACAAATCTGTGCTAAAATTCTACTAATCAGAATAAAGACTGGTTCTCATGCATTAAAGAAGAAACCATCGAGCTACAAATCAATTATCATGCTGATGTAAAGTCTTCATAATCCATGTCAAAGTTTAAAATCCTGACATCCCTAAAATTGTATAATGCCTCAAATTTGGGACAGTTAATTAACTTTCTAAGAGGTTTAATAATAAGTTAAAATCAAACAGGCATTTAATTCTGTGGCTTAAAATTATCATAAGGTATGACACAGCATTATATTCAGAGACTGGTTCCATTTAGTGGAACTGAAAGCTTGTCTGTGAATTATAGTGGATTCAAAGGGATAATGAATTATATAGTATACTTAAAAAAGAATCTGTTGCATATACACTTGTTAGGTAATGTACTTGAAAATTTTTCCTCTTGATGTGGTCTTTAGACCTTACATGTAATTTTGCATGATTCAAAGCAATAGGAAGTTTTTTTTATTTATACATTATAGAGCTGTAATTAAAACCACTGTGTTTAATTTCCCGGCAGAAACCATAATTTCTTCCTGCAATGCGTAAACTTGTTTCATGAGAAATGAAACTGAATTTACTTGTCTGAAATATGCAACAATAATTATAATGTTACTAATGTTAGGTCATAAATGTTCAATTTGCCTAGGTTGAAGACCATATTCTGTAGCTTAATTTGGGGATCAGTTTTCTGTGTGAATATAAAACAGAAAAAAAAGCACAACAACTTCATTTTATCAGCCATATAAGTGTTTGGGCCATATTATAAGGCTCCTTGAAATATAGCTTCAATAAAATCAAAGGTCACATAAAAATAGAGGACAGAGGTCAAGTTTACACAAACTGCAGTTGAAATAGTAACTTTCTTGATCTATATGAAGTTAAATGTATATTTTTTAGCTTATTTTTCAATATTATTAAAATATTTTAACCTCGACTATTCGATAAGAATAAGTAGAGCTATTGTAGTCACACGTGCGTCGACGTAACCACTTATGTTAAAGATTTTGTAATACCTCAAATATTTTCAAAGTCCATCGACATATGGCTTTGAAACTTTGCACACTTGATCACCATCATGACCCCAACATGTGGACAGGAGGAGGTAACTCTATCGAGCATTTTGACAGAATTATGCCCCTTTTTCGCCTTAGAATTTACGTTAAAGTTTTTGTAATACATTAAATATTTTCAAAGTCCATTTACATATGGCTTTGAAACTTTGCACACTTGTTCACCATCATGACCCCAACATGTGGACAGGAGGTGGTAACTGTATCAAGCATTTTGACAGAATTATGCCCCCTTTTCGACTTAGAATTTACGTTAAAGTTTTGTAATACCTCAAATATTTTCAAAGTCCATTGACATATGGCTTTGAAACTTTGCACACTTGTTCACCATCATGACGTCAACATGTAGACAGGAGGAGGTAACTCTATCAAGCATTTTGACAGAATTATGCCCCTTTTTTGACTTAGAATTTATGTTAAAGTTTTTGTAATACCTCAAATATTTTCAAAGTCCATTGACATATGGCTTTGAAACTTTGCACACTTGTTCACCATCATGACCTCAACCTGTAGACAGAAGGAGGTAACTCTATCTAGCATTTGGCCAGAATTATGCCCCTTTTTTGACTTAGAATTTACGTTAAAGTTTTTGTAATACCTCAAATATTATCAAAGTCCATGGTCATATGGCTTTGAAACTTTGCACACTTGTTCACCATCATGACCCCAACATGTGGAACGGAGGTGGTAACTCTATCAAGCATTTTGACAGAATTATGCCCCCTTTTCGACTTAGAATTTACGTTAAAGTTTTTGTAATACCTTAAATATTTTCAAAGTCCATTTACATATGGCTTTGAAACTTTGCACACTTGTGCACCATCATGACCCCAACATGAGGACAGGAGGTGGTAACTCTATCAAGCATTTTGACAGAATTATGCCCCCTTTTCGACTTAGAATTTACGTTAAAGTTTTGTAATACCTCAGATATTTTCAAAGTCCATTGACATATGGCTTTGAAACTTTGCACACTTGTTCACCATCATGACCCCAACATGTAGACAGGAGGAGGTAACTCTATCAAGCATTTTGACAGAATTATGCCCCTTTTTTGACTTAGAATTTATGTTAAAGTTTTTGTAATACCTCAAATATTTTCAAAGTCCATTGACATATGGCTTTGAAACTTTGCACACTTGTTCACCATCATGACCCCAACCTGTAGACAAAAGGAGGTAACTCTATCAAGCATTTGGCCAGAATTATGCCCCTTTTTCGACTTAGAATTTACGTTAAAGTTTTTGTAATACCTCAAATATTATCAAAGTCCATCGACATATGGCTTTGAAACTTTGCACACTTGTTCACCATCATGACCCCAACATGTGGACAGGAAGTGGTAACTCTATCAAGCATTTTGACAGAATTATGCCCCCTTTTCGACTTAGAATTTACTTTACGTAAAGTTTTTGTAATACCTTAAATATTTTCAAAGTCCATTTACATATGGCTTTGAAACTTTGCACACTTGTTCACCATCATGACCCCAACATGAGGACAGGAGGTGGTAACTCTATCAAGCATTTTGACAGAATTATGCCCCCTTTTCGACTTAGAATTTATGTTAAAGTTTTGTAATACCTCAGATATTTTCAAAGTCCATTGACATATGGCTTTGAAACTTTGCACACTTGTTCGACATTCATGACCCTAACATGTAGACAGGAGGAGGTAACTCTATCAAGCATTTTGACAGAATTATGCCCCTTTTTTGACTTAGAATTTATGTTAAAGTTTTTGTAATACCTCAAATATTTTCAAAGTCCATTGACATATGGCTTTGAAACTTTGCACACTTGTTCACCATCATGACCCCAACCTGTAGACAGAAGGAGGTAACTCTATTAAGCATTTGGCCAGAATTATGGCCCTTTTTCGGCTTAGAATTTACGTTAAAGTTTTTGTAATACCTCAAATATTATCAAAGTCCATTGACATATGGCTTTGAAACTTTGCACACTTGTTCACCATCATGACGTCAACATGTAGACAGGAGGAGGTAACTCTATCAAGCATTTTGACAGAATTATGCCCCCTTTTTGACTTAGAATTTATGTTAAAGTTTTTGTAATACCTCAAATATTTTCAAAGTCCATTGACATATGGCTTTGAAACTTTGCACACTTGTTCACCATCATGACCCCAACCTGTAGACAGAAGGAGGTAACTCTATCAAGCATTTGGCCAGAATTATGCCCCTTTTTTGACTTAGAATTTACGTTAAAGTTTTTGTAATACCTCAAATATTATCAAAGTCCATGGTCATATGGCTTTGAAACTTTGCACACTTGTTCACCATCATGACCCCAACATGTGGAACGGAGGTGGTAACTCTATCAAGCATTTTGACAGAATTATGCCCCCTTTTTGACTTAGAATTTACGTTAAAGTTTTTGTAATACCTTAAATATTTTCAAAGTCCATTTACATATGGCTTTGAAACTTTGCACACTTGTTCACCATCATGACCCTTACCTGTAGACAGGAGGAGGTAACTGTATCAAGCATTTTGACAGAATTTGGCCCCTTTTTTGACTTAGAATTTACATTTAAGTTTAAATACCACCTCAGATATTTTCATATTCTATCGACATCTGGCTTTGAAACAAGTTGAAATTTTATACTGTTCTTTAAGGACATAATAGGACTCTCTTCAAGGCCTATAACTGTAACATGGTTTTAAAGAAAAATTTGCCCTTTTGTTAACTTAGAAAATTTTACATTATCAAGGCTTTTTTACTGTCAAGCACTAAGAATAGTCGAGCGTTGCTGTCCTACCGACAGCTCTTGTTTTTAATTTTTGTCCTCAAAATAAGGAAAAATATCATTTTTTTTATCATTATTATTGGTTTAAACATATTCATTCATCATAACATTTAAGATTAGAACAATATTTACAAAGTACATTTTGATATTGGGCAGAAAGCTATAATTATGATTACTATTAACCTAATATGACCTTAAAAGGTGACTAAGTTTAGATAACTTCAGTTAATATCCTGATCTAACTAAAAGTTCATAAGGCCTCTGGTCACTGTCGGAAAATAGTTATGTAAAAATATCCAAGTACCACTGTAATTATTTTTATCATGATAACATTATACATTATAATAACTTCTCTCTCATGATGTTTAATACAACCTTGGCCTTTCCAGTTTTTATTTATGACAAGTATGACATACTGGTTGCAGCTTATATATAATACTACTTAATGCTATT